TGTGTCCAGGACAACTTATAGACACTCTTGGCTTTTCATTAGAATACGTGCAAGTCACCTGTCCATACTTTGTGTGCTCTATGAGTTCAATACCGTTCATCTTACCACACTCTCCTCCGCCTTTGCCCCTGCCCTGCCTCCTGGAGCGTCACAAGCTTGATGCAGCGCTGTCTCTGCTTTGCTGTGGCAATGAGCTGTGTGCTCCGGAATTTGGTTACTGATTGTGAAAGTCAAAAGGATTCTGCTCAGACACTGAGGTCTGGCTCTCTCCGTTCTGATATTACTAAGGCCAGTGAAACACAACCTTTAGCAGCCTTTGGAATTTCTGGGGCTGAGGAGTCCAGACCCTGGATTGGCTTCCAAATCACAGATGGCAGCTCCTCACCTCAAGTTTTGTGCCATGGATTTGAGGTGGGAACTGTAACTCTGCTTTCTTCTGTAAAAATGCTTCCTGTGCTGCTGACCTGGATCAGCAGCCCCAGGTCTTCACACCTTTGTGTTCCCCCTGTGTTTATTAAACACAGCCACAATTAACCCATAGAGACGAGGCTTTACTGAGGTTTTTAGGGATGATGAATTATGGCTATATAAAGCCCTATGTAAATTTAGTTTAGCAATTTAAAATTCTAATTAAAACCTCTTATTTTAAAAAAATGTATTTCCAAGGTAACAGTGCGCATGATTTATTAATAATGCAAACCCCCAGAACGGAGTCCGTTTAAATCCCAGCTTCTGCCTTCACAAGACTTGTCCTGCTTCTCCCTGCTCTTCTCATCCCTCTCCTTTCTGTCCTCACACACTGAATTTGTGGTTAGTCTGGGTCTGACTCTGAAGTGAGTAAGCTCCACCGAGCAGAGACGATGGAGAAGATACAAGTGAGCAAGTTCCCCACCGAGTCAGAGCTGGCAGGCATGAATAAGGGTACGACCGGGGCAATAGCAGCAATGGCTGTCTGCTTGGACTGTAGGGGGCTATAACAGAGAGGCAGCAGAGAGGCTCTAGAAGCACTGAGAGCCAGTATGGAATCAACAGCTTAACCAAAAGGAATAGCAATTACATAGCATTAATGTGACAGTGGTTTTTCCAGTTATTTGTTAAATAGTTTCCCTTTGAATTGAAAAACCACCTTCGTCACACTTTTAATAAAAATAGAAAAGCAGATACTTAATGTTTGTATTTTAAAGCAAAATTCTATATGCTTTGTCTGGTAGGCTTACTAGCAAAGTAATTTTGTCATCTGATAGAGTTATAGAAATATTTTGGGCAAACTGAATATTAAAAGATTATACAAACCTTTGTGTCCTGGACCTAATGAAGCAAGGACTGGTGACTGGTAAGACCAGCAGTGATGAGACCCCAATTAGACACAGCAAAAAGTAAGGGCTTTGCTATGAGAGGGCGCCACCTTCTGGCCAGTCTTTCCAGATCCTCTAATGCTGGCATCCGCTGTGTGGTTCTTAACTCAGAAACAGGGTCTTTCTGTAGAACTCTTGAACTCCTTTCCCGGGAGTCCTATCTCGTAAGTAGAACACAAATGCTTCGACTTGACTGTGTTAGATCGTGAAGACCGTGCTGCAGTAGGTGTGTGGTCATCCGCAGTAGCCAGGTCCACGGGGCACACTGTGCAAGTACACGGCCCTTTGGCTCACTGTCAAGCAGAGCTGTGGCCTGCCACTTACAAGCCTCGAGCACATTTATCGGCCTCACTGACCCCTGATTTTTCATCTGTAAAGTAAGAATAAATTTTATTCAGGATAAAATAAGATATGTAAAAAAAAATGTTTAGCGTAAGTTCATGATTGCCAGAACAACAGCAAGATAACCACAAAGAGCAAGTCATTTAATATAAATATAGCTTAATCAATCCAGAGACTGTAGGGAGCTGCATAATCTACCCAAAATACCTTGAGAAGTAGTCTAAGTGTTTCTTTACAGTTCTCGGCCCTTTGGGGCAGGTCTGCTCTACGGATCGAGAGCCAAGCTGTCAAGTGACCCTGGGAGATCAACATGAGGACAGCTCAGCTTTTGTTTGTTTATGTGTCTTGGGCTAAACTAGGGCCCTGACCTCCCAAACAAAACATCACTGAGAGACTGGTTGAAATGGTTCAGTGATTATTAAAACAAGAAAATATTTTGTTTTAGTTAGATAAACTCATTTATTCAAGCTAACTTTCAGAAACTTGGAAATTTCATAGTGATATTTTTAATTAATGCAAAAGCAGACAGAGCAGCCAAACACCATACCATGGTACTCCTACCAAAGTAAATGAATAAATTAATGGATAATATAAATACAGATTGGAGTATAATTCTTAAATTTTATTGCCACAGATAAGCAACTTTATGGACTTAAAAAAATCTTCAATTTAAAATATTCATGAATCTGTCTCTTCTGAAGTTTTATAAATTAAACATTATCATAATAAGTAAAAAAGACACACTAAAATCCGTGCTGTGAGCCAAGGGCTTAACAGCAAGCCAGGCTTCCCAAGCTCTAACCTCATCTGGCCTTACACCCTGGATCTAGGTTTGGAGGTCTACATCGTGGGGCTTGGAAGAGCTGAATGCTTACCTAGGTCTTTCGTCCATTGTTTGATCCGGTTGGTAGGTGACAGAGCGGGCATAGGAACACATTTTCCATAGAAATTCTCAAGCTCTACTGCCTGTGTGGTTTGAACAGATCATAATGGAGTATCCAATTTTGAACTAGCTTTCCCATGCCTATGGCCTGCTTCTCAGTGTCCGACAAGATAGGCCTAAGGTATTCGTCCCATTAGAGAGAAATTCGAAACACTGCCTGCGGGTGTAGTGGTCACCCTGGGCCTCACACACATTGGTGGAAGGCTAGAACTTGGGTGATTTCTCTATCGTTCCTGGACTTTGTGGTCACAACTGCCCTAGTGGGGCTCAGGAAGATGAGTTAGGTGAACTGCACAGTGGACTTTGCTGCGAGCAGACCTGGTGGGTCCATTCGGGTTTTCATTGTCATTCACATCAAGGAGAAGCACTCGAGGCAGGAAACGTTCATCTCAGACCCTAGACAGTTTTAAAGTCATGCCTTCAGTTTCTTCCTTTCAGACCCTAAGCCTTTTTACCTGGCTTGGTGGTTTGCTTTTGTTGTTGTTGTTGTTGTTGTTTTTCTTTTTTCCAGGAAATCATGTGTGCGCTCTTTACATTCACTGTAAGGAGCTGTGGAGAACAGGGTGGAGGGACCAGCGGGGCCCTTGGTGCATTCTTCTTGTTCAGAGCCTCTGTTCCAGGCCCAGGTGGATCAGGCCTGTGTATAACAAGGGCTGTGTTTGGATTTACTGTGTTGGGCTGCAGATACACCCCGACGGGCTTGCTCCCTAGAGCAGCATTTGTCTATATGTTTGCTTATATCTGCTGTGTGTACACCTAGAGCCCATGTTAACTAGAATCTTAAAGAAATTCCGTGTCCTTTGGAGTGCACTCTCTGTTGTGTTTTACTCATAGTCACCTAAGGAAAAGCAATGAAGCCACGACCTTCACCTGTCATGGCCGAGCACTGTGGCATACATGGGGCGTGTTCTTATTGTTCTTAACTAGGGAGGAGTGGCCTTGAGGGTGATTATGCCTTCTCTTCATTTTACTCTCTCACACGTGTGTCCAGCTAGCAAACTCAATAGAGTATACTAGAATATGTCCAGTACCACTGCTAACTCTGCGTCCTAAAAATAAAATTCAAGGAACCATTCCACGATGTGTAGGTCTAATAGTTGTGTACATGCATGTGCATAAAATATACATGGTTTGTGCACAGCATATACATGGTACCTATGCACTACCAGGAAGAACCGCAACAGAAGGCATCAGATGAGGGAGCTGCATCATGGAGGGGCTGAGTGTGCACAAGGTTCACACACGGATAGTGAGTTCAGGGCTGAGTGTGGCAAGGGTTCACACACGGATAGTGAGTTCAGGGCTGAGTGTGTACAAGGTTCACACACAGATAGTGAGTTCAGGACTGAGTGTGTATAAGGTTCACACACAGTGAGTTCAGGGCTGAGTGTGTACAAGGTTCTCACATTGATATTGAGTTCAGGTCTGAGTGTGTACAAGGTTCACACTTGGATATTGAGTTCAGGTCTGAGTGTTTACATGGTTCACACTTGGATAGTGAGTTCAGGGCTGAGTGTTTACATGGTTCACACATGGATAGTGAGTTCAGGGCTGAGTGTGGACAAGATTCACACACGGATAGTGAGTTCAGGGCTGAGTGTGGAAAAGGTTCACACACAGATAGTGAGTTGAGGGCTGAGTGTGGAGCTGAATTCTTCGTCTATAATGTAGGGAAGATAACATCCAGCACTTCCTAGAGATGTCATGATTCAGATGCTGTAGTGGGTGGAAGGATATCTGGAAGCCTTGGAAATACTACAGAAATATTCAGAAATCATTCCCCGCATGTCCAGAGTTTGTTTGGGGTAACTAAATGGGGACTCTACTCGTCTGAGCCCATTGTTCTTTTCATTCATTTGTGATTATCTTAGTGTGCTTTGTAAACACATTCGTTGACACGGCGAGCATTCTCCTGGATAAATGAGACCTGTTATCCTCTTCCTTAGAATAGGGTTCTTGCTGTCGCTGCTTTCATAAACAGTGTGTTACTCCAGCGTGGAATACACTCGCTGTTCAAAACTGAAAATTCTCCTACCCAAGAAACTAGAATCTACATTGCTAACAAGAACTCCCTGTAATCATGTTATCCAAGTGTAATCAGAGATGTTCAAAATAGAAGACTCACCTGAGCTGGAGAAGGACCTCAGTTTACAAACAGGAGAGGGGAGAGACATTGTGAGAGTCTTACGTGACATCACCCATCCAATTAGGGCCATATTTCCACTCCAGAGCCATGCGCCTAACACTGTACTGAGAGGCTGAGGGTATCTAGGTTTGTTTATTTTTGTGTTTTCAGAACTGATGGGTCTTTTGAAATAAAGACATCGCCTTTCTGAGTGTCTGTCCTTTGCTCCTTACAGAAGAAGACTGCATAAGCTGGGTGTATCAAAGGTCACACAGGTGGATTTCCTGCCGAGGGAAGTAGTATCCTACTCCAAGGAGACACAGACTCCTCTTGCGACTCATCAGTCTGAAGGTAAAGGACGGCTTTTGTCTTCTTTGCATGCTGCGACTGCAGAAACTGTCGGGGGGGAAACATCCTTTATGTTGACTTCACATCCCAAGGGTCTTCCTAGCATGTGAACAGAATCACATCGAAAAAGCCGCAGCTGCGTTTTCTGATTTTGGAAGGTCTGCAGAGGGAATCCCTTGCTATTCCTCCAAGAAATCCATGAACCTTTAAGAGTCTAACCTTTGCGTCATTTCTATGTTTATGTGCGGAGGGTGGAAATCATCAAAGATGTGAGTAGACACTTTGACAAATGGTGCTAGTAAGAATGCCTTAAAATCCGGCATTTGTGGAGCGGAGAGATGGCTCGGAAGTTAGGAGTGCATGGTGCTCCTGCGGAGAGCCAGCACCCAGCTCTGGTGGCTCACAACCGCCCGCAAGTTCAGATCCAGGGGATCCGATGCTTTTTGTGTCCTCTGAAGTATGTGCACACACCCCATACATAAAGACGCACACACACAAGTAAAAATCAGAATCTTAAAAAAAAAAAAAAACCTCACCATTTGTAGGAATAGCAAACCGTTTCTAAAAATAGAATATTACTGAGGCATAGATGCTTCCAATCACTTGCACCTATGGTTAATTTTTTGCTCTAATAGTCTGGTTGAATAGACATGAAGGAGACCTTAGCTGACTCACAAAGCCTAAAACCTTGGATTTAGTCCTTTACAGAAAACCTTTATGGGCCCTGATTTTCTGGGCAGTTCACATAACAACACACCAATGTTCGGTAAGGGGTTTGCTGAGATTTGCATACCAGTTTTTCACTTCGTATTTTCTGGTATGCACAAAAGAGGTATGCAGGTCCCTCCCTACTCATCTACACGGAATGTGCAAAGCATTAAAAATCGATGTGATGATTAATCATACTTTTAACTTCCTGGGATTGCACTCTTGATAAAAATGAGCATCCCTCTGGGCATGTCTGAGGGATTTTCTCAATTTGCTTAGCTGAGCTAGGAAGACCCATTGTATATACGGGCAACACTCTTGGGTGCGCTGCGGTCTTGGTCTGAGTTAAAAGGGGAAAGGGACCCGAGTAGCAGCACTCGCACCCCTTTGGTTGCTTGTGCCATCTGCCTCAGGACCCTGCTCCCGTGCCCCCTCTGCCATGATAGACTACAAACCAAACTAAACCCTCCCTTAAGTGGCTTTTTGTCAGGCATTTTTATCACTGAAACAGAACAAGGAACGAATACGGACAACAATAAGAAAAGTTAAAACTGATAAATCTTAATGTTTCCTGGTATAAATGCAATACCATGCTGGGGGTGGCTTGCTTACCCAGCATGCACGGAGCCCTGGTACAGTTCTCAACACGGTGACAGACTAAGGAAAACGAGCACGGTGTACCGGATAAAACTGCGTGAGAATCGGAGAGACGCGTATACAGAAAACAGAGAGAGCCCAGCTGCACCGCTGGAGAGAATAACTCCGCTGATACAGCCAGGCCAAGAGTCTTTTTACTTCCTGTGTCACTGGTGTGGGGAAGAGGATGTTAGGATTTGGGGTTCATTCTTGCTGTCCATTAAATATTGGGCAAAATCCTAAGTAATGAAATACATTAGCCTTTCATCCTTGATCTGAAAAAGACATAAACCAACGCAGTTTGGTTTGTGCGAGCTACAGAGATGTTTTATTTGGACTATCAACACGTAACGTCACAAATGAAGAAAAGTCTTGTTCCTTGAAGTTCAGGGAGCAGTCTCCTGGGTAATAGGGCTGTGAACACAAGCCTTTAACGGTAGGGCCTATCAAGCCCTGTGGTAAAACATCAAAGTTCAGACGCAGACGAGTAGCACCCTCTGGTGGTGAAACTTTAAACAAACCAACCGCCACATTAAGACGCCTGTATTAGCTTGGCAGAAAATAAGGCCCTAGAAAACTCTTCAGGAGTCCTTCCTTGGGCCTCCAGACAAGAGCGGGAGGATCATTAAAAAGCAGGCTCACTGCCCAGCCAAAGCATTTGTTTGAGTTAATTTGCTGCCAAAGGCATTTGCAGAGCTATACCCAGAGGTATGTTTATTTAGCCCCAAATTTGACCCTTAACATAAAGTGATAGAACCGAAACAGGAGAAGGAGTGAATTATTTTTAAGAATGTGTATACTTAAGAAATGGAAATGGTACAGAAATATTTACAAGGGGAGATAAATTCAGGACGAAAAGGCATCAACTGTAAACTTTTAAACTGGAATACATCAAAAGGAAAAGCCCACAGAGTTCACTTTATTACTTTATGGAGAGAGGTTGGGAGCCCTCATTATGCTGTGGTCCAAGCAGCAGGAAGGGAGGAATTTAGTTCTTAGCCATTGGCAGAAGTTCTCTCTGTTCTTTTAACAAGACCCGTAGAGCTTTCTTGTGGTAATGGTTCAAATTCCACAATACGGACTTGAACCCAAAGCCAGCTACCAGAGCCTATAGGAGTGCCTGGTATCAAAGCAATAGCTGATAAGTAAACAAGAAAACCTTGATTGTTGTCATCTCGCCACAGATAGTGGACCCTGGACCTTTGGCTGCCTGGCTGTTGAGGATGCCCAGGGCCCGCCTTTCACCTGTAGGTGAGGTGGCAGGAAGGGAGCACCAGTGTCCGCAGTGGGCAGCAGTGGGCAGTCCGCAGCCAGGTCTTTCCGAATGGGAGTCTTGGGATGGTGCCCACTTTGGTATTTGAGCCAGTGTTGTAGTAACAAGGTCAGCCTTGCAGGGACAGGAATCCCGTGGCGGCTGAATTTGACAGCACAGGAAGGCTCTTGGGTAGGTAGCATTTGCAGTTGCTGTGGGTATAAATCCCATGCGAGCCCTTTATTAGCTGTAATACATAAAGACTGACTGATTCTCTGTAACTCACTGTTTGAAGACAGAAAATTAATGAAATGCAAACTACCAGCTTCAGAGCATTGATTCTCTGCCTCGACTGGAGTTGGAGTGGCTTCACCCTCCTAGAGAGGGGAGGGGGCTGGGATTTGCCTGAGTCAGGGCCCCTCCCCTCGACCACATGCTATAGTGGGTACTCTCCTCAGTGGATTAGCTTGTCACATAATGATCTGCTGTGAGAAATTCTCCAAATGCTTTTAAGCTTGGGAGATTTAGGAATCAGATCTCCATCAACACAATTCTTTCAAGTAGCCTAGGCTTTTCTCATCTTAGGTCATTAGCCACAGGCAAAGAAGGCTGAGAGCAGAGAGCTCTGATCAGGAGCAGGCTATCTCTACCCGCAAACATTTTAAACATGTGGTTTTCATTCCCAAGTAAAGAAAGACTATGCATATTTCTCTGCCAAATTGCCTCGGCTTTGCATGTTGTTTCCCTACCTGTCCATGAGGTCCTGAGTTGGCAACCAATCTTGTGTGTGTTTATTGCAATGGGTACATGGCTGGTGAGCAGCAGGCACCAGGCAGCTGAGGGCACTGACGCCTCCAGACTGGTGCGGAATCCCCAGGTTCCGCATGGCCCCTGGAGCAGAGAGAATGTCTTCATGTGCAAGAATGGTGTCGATCAAACTGGACAAGGGAAGATGCTTCTGCATTCTGTTGGTAGTATTGAAGGTTCTCTGTACTTCCGTGGCATCTGATAAACGGGGACTTGGACTTTATCTTGGCCCTTTCCTGGCTTCACTTCCCGCCTGTCTCTGATGTCTTGCATCCAAGACAAATGGTAACTGCTGGACTTTTCCAGGCGGTTCTGAAAGCATGTGATTCTATGCATGTGCCATGCCGTGTTTCCTAACTGGCATGCCACCCCTTCCGTGTGTCTTCCTTCATGAGTGTGTCCCAGGGTCAGTTCCTTGGCAATCCCATCCTCCTACCATTTCAAAGTCTGGTCCCTCCTTATTACGCCGAGTTGATTCCTAGGCTGAGGTTTCCCTATGAGCAGGGCCCGAGTTCTTTACCCACTTTGAGCCTCACACAATGCTTAGTTCAAAAATCACACTCACTAGACATTCAAACAAGCAAGAAGCACAAGATACCGGAGGCTGAGGAAAGAGAGAATGGAAATCCTCGTGTTTTCTGGGGTCAGGGGCCACCCATGCGAAAGTGCAACGCTTTTGCGATATTTGACGGAAATGTCACAGAAGGAACATTTGTCTTTCAGCCAGGCCCCTGTTTCTTCTGTCCCTGGGTGGCTGTCCTTAGGCATTATCCATTCACAGTGTGATAGGGAAACAGGGAACTGTCTGGCTTGGTCCAGGGTAGAGCAAAGCAGCCTACAAGCTTCACTATGCAGAAACGTCTTCAGAGGAACTCTGGAGTGGGACTTCAAGGAAGGCAGAAGTTTCACTTTTGTATGCCGGAAAAAAAAATATTTTCTTGGTAGGGAGAAAATTTCTACCTTGATTTCCCATCTTTTCCAGGATGCATTCACTGCAGACTGCAGACAAATGGTCGCTGTTTGGGGCGGCAAACTGTCTGGTCTGATATTGCCCAATGAAATCGTATGATGTCACCGGTGATTTTAATCATACATTTTTGTGAACTCCATAATTTCAATATATTCAACTCTCAAAAAGCAATGAGTATGAAATTCTCAGTGGGACATCCCCCTTCTTTCTCTGTACATAAACTAAGTCTTAAGACGGTGGTTTCTATTCTGCATTCACAGCATGTCCAAATTCAGGCTCATTTCCCTTAGAAACACTTATTGCTGGATTTCATTAGCTTTATGATCAAAAGAGTGGATCCATGTGCCACTGTTTCCCAATAAGAGTCTAGTGCCCTCTTTTAAATTTAAACCCAAATTAATTACAGTGAGTTAAAAGTTCAGTGTCTCTGCCGCACAGCTAATCCCCACAGCTGAGATGTGAAGGCTCTTGTATTGAACATCCCAGGTCTCCCCGGATCCACCATTTCATAAGTCTAGAAGCTGAGATCCAAAACACACACATGAGCTTCACTCTACTGTCACTGCGGAGAAGGACCAGAGTGAGGAGATCGCTGTGATGCAGGGATGCTCTGGGATGATGGGTTAGGGA